TCGCATACGTTGTTTCTTAAAAAGTCACACAACTTATAATGTGCTTTGTAATCATCGTGCTGCACCGAGGTGTAAAATTTTGAAATTCGCCCTCTCTCCGCGGTAAATATTTCACTTTCCACGTCTCTTGCACGCACGCGTGTTGCTGCCACACTATAATTTAGGCATTCGACGCGCAAGATGAAAGAGATTCTCACACTCGCGAGCAACCAACTACGCTGTTCGGTGATGCGTTTAAGTAATAACAATTATTTTTGATGAATGCACTCTTGAAAAAATGACGGCGTGATCGTGTCATCGAAAAAAACCCGAATGCGCTTTCAATAATAATATGTTTACATAGATACAAAACCGTACAATATAAGCAAGAGTTCAACTTATTGTTCAACTGATTATTGAATTGAATACAAAACTGGGTTAATAGTAGGGTTTACGTACAACGATAGTCACGAAAACATGAGTTAAAGTTTGAAATATTTTATTGTTTTGAAAATTGAATGATATTCATGTGAGAGATTTCCAAAATAACATATTGTACTCATGTGAGTGTAAAAATAAAGTTTCCGATGAGTTCACATATGTCTTGGAACAAACTCCTGCTCCTATGGTTTGATACAATTATGTACTTTCATGTGCTTTTGGTGGTTATCCTTTACTCTAAATGTTTTATGACAAATTTCACAATCAAAGGGTTTATTCCGTTCATGTACTGCGTTTATGTGCCTTTTGAGGTTTTGTTTTTCTCCAAATGATTTGTGACAAATGTCACATTCGAAAGGTTTGCTACGGTCATGTACTGTATTCATGTGAGTTTTGAGATGGCTCTTTTGTCCAAATGATTTGTGGCAAATATTACATTCGAAAGGTTTACTACGATCATGTACTATATTTATGTGTTTATTGAGGTTACCCTTTGATGAAAATGATCTTTGACAAATGTCACACTTGAAGGGTTTGGTATGATCATGTCCTGCATTCATGTGAGAATTAAAGGAACTCTTGTATCCAAATGATTTGTGACAAATCTTACATTCGAATGGTTTGATGCGATGATGTACTGCATTTATGTGAGTTTCAAGGTTAATTTTTCGCCCAAATGATTTGTGACACATGTCACACTCGAAGGTTTTGCTTCGATTGTGTACCGTAATTATGTGTCTTTTGTGGTGCTGTTTTAGTCCAAATGATTTATGACAAATATCACATTCGAAGGGTTTTATTTTATTATGTACTGTATCTACGTGATAGTTTACGTAATGTTTTCGACTAAATGATTTGTGACAAACCTCACATTCAAAATATTTGATCGAACCATGTACTGTGTTTATGTGAGTTTTGGTTCGATTTTCGTTTTCTACTTTTAAAATAGGAAGGCAACTTTGATTCTCATATTTGCAAACGGTTGTCGATGAAGACTTTAATTCTGGTTTAACATATTTGCACTCCAAATCTATAAATATTTTTTCATCTAACTCTTTTTTTAACGACATAACCTCATTCATGTGATTTTCCTAGAATAGAAAAGGTGAAATAGTTTTTTATAATAAAAAAAAACAGAACATTAATCAAATTATGTAACTCACCGATGATTTATCAAACGTGAATGTTTCAACGTATTTGGCTTCGTAAGGGTCCACCGGGTCTGGCCAAGAATCGTTCGACTCCTGCTTTATCCTGAAGAATAATTCAATTCGATAAAACAATAGATCAAAAAATACTAATGGCATGCACAAATATAGTTATACCTAACTATGTCCTCGCAGTTTTCCATCTCTCGCTCGATTATAAAATTTGCACTTTACACACTGAGAAAGTATTAGAGGTTATGAGCCTAGAGTAGCCAACACTGTTTCTCGTTTTCACCTATGTACACTTTTGCTGATATGATTTTTAAACAACTCGCTCACTCGAAGAATTTCGCTCTTCCTTAGCGACCGAACGAACTGTACTCGTGCATCAGCGAGATGATCTCGCATTTGTGATAGTAGTTGTGTATTTTTATTGGACTTGATCGTATGATGATACATTGCCAGCGCATTTGTGATAGCTCCTTGAAGCTACTTACCCCCTCTACCGTCGACTTGCTATATACGCAGTAAAGCAAGCTGTGATGCGTGTCAAGTATTCGTATTCGATCAAACCTACAACAAAATTGGTTGTTTGCACATAGTTCAGATTCTTAGCGTTTTCGCGTTACTGCTGTAAAATTTGAGTTCACATCTAACGTACATCAATACGATACAATGGTTTGCGCTGAATTAATATAAGCTCATATTCAGAGTAGAGCGAGACCATACATTTTATGCAGCTTCGCTCGGTACGTATCTTTATCTCTGTAAAGCTATGAGATATATGAAACACGAGCATAATAGGCATACCTCCTGTACTATTGTCATCTGCGCGGACTTGGTTCGGGCAATTCGCTCATAATGTGCATAAAGCGCCGCCTATACGCGACGTCACATAGTCGCCTCGCTCGATGCGCCATTATATAATTGAGTGAAAATTCCAAATCTTCGAATCTCTCCTATAGCTGGGCGCGTGTTATATGGATTAAAACCTATATGCGACGTGCCAGGTAGTCATTTATTTTTCAAGCTCTCGCCTCGAGCTGCAGACGCGAAGGAAGGATGTGTATAAGTAGACCGTACGTACGATATCCCAACGAAGAGAGGTGAAATGCACTTCTATATATATACTGTCTGCTCGCGCGCGCGTTATATACGGAGGGGGATGGCAAATAAACGATATGTTGAAGCTATTTCCACGTAACGATTTAATGAAATGCCGTGGAGTACGACGTGCATCAGAGCAGAGCCTTGCAACTACACTCGGCATACTTGCAGCTGTTTGACGATGGTCTTGCGTGTACGATGACTCGCTCGAGCTCGAGCTCATTTCTCTCTCTCTCTCTCTCTCGCTCTGTGTTTGACGATGGAGGGCTTCGATGCGATTGTTATATCTTGGCAAATAGTCGTACATAAGCCGGCATATGTGGAATCGGTAATCGAAAGATTAAAACCGGAATTCAATTGAAAAACGTACGTAGTATGGATCTTGGCCTCGAGCGTCATTTTACTGCCCTACAATAACTCGAGCATTATATATACGCGAGCGTCGCAGGTGGAGCCGCTTTATAAAATATATACGAAAGATAAAAAGCTCGTATTACAAATCGGCGCTTCGCGCGGAGAAGTAACTGCAGGACAAGTATAAAAAAAAGCTTCTATCTTGGTGCGTTACGTAATATTTCCGTACTTTAATTCTTCACCCTTTTTTTCCCGCGTTTATCTTTCGACCGCGTTTTTCCTCCCTTCTCGGGGATCTCTTATATTCAAGCCCGTGAAGCAGCAGCCCTGCGAGTACTTATATTTGGTTATTTCTACTGACGATCCTTGCGAGCGTTTCAGCAACGGCGAACGACGCATAATTAAGTGCGAGACGAGATAAATTTAACGTAATTGAAAAAACGCCTCATTTAGTCGAAAATTCGATATCTAATTTTAATTTATCTGCGGCGCGAAGAAGTTTTACGTATAGATATACACGGTCGCTGCTCGTCTTGCCACACACGAGTGTAACGAGATTAAAGTTCGGGCGCAAGGCCCAAGGGTTCGAAAAGGCAAGAGAGAAGAGGCGGCTCACGGCGCACACGATGGTGTGCGTTGGTAATCAGTAATTATTCTATTAACTACCAACGAGGACGACGATGGCGATGGCACACCATGGAACATCGAACCCGTACCTGGCAACGAAAGAGAAGTGAGAGAGAGAGAGAGAGAGAGAAAGATGATGTCGTCTCTCAGTGCTGTCTAAACATTGCCAAGCGAGAGCATAACTATAGCTACGAAACGAGGTTAGCCTCTCTCTAATAGCATCTCTCACTCGGCCACTCACTCTCTCTCTCTCTCCGGCTCACTTTGTGCACATTTATGCTATTTATCATTCGTCGGGTCCTTTGGTCGCTCTTCTCTCTTCGCTGCAGTTATATATAATATACTCTTTCGTTTCTCGTCCCTCCTGGCGCGCAGACGAGCCCCAGAGACATTCTCGTATTATTATGATTCCCGCGCGCGCGCAGCAACTCTCTCTCTCCTTTTATAATTGCATTAATTTACTTGCGTGTACGCCATTGCCGCGTAATCATACATTCATTGTATTTTATTGTTTAATTGTAGCGATTGTTTCATTTTGGAGACGCAAACGTATCGTAACAGTTACCCGATTCCGTTTTGCAGCTGTGAATTCGGCTGTTAACGTTCGGTGAAGTGTTATAAAGACTGCACTTCGCGCTCTGTGTCGGTGCGCACTGGGACGAGGCGGACACGAAAGAAAAGCAGCACTTCGAAGGCTACTCACGCCTCTTTGGTCTCGAGAAAATTTAATAACCCCGCGTGGAGTTGCCACCTTTTACCTACGCGTTCGAGATTGGGATTACAATTGGCGCTATATAGTAGAGAATGTAGAGCGCGTCGCGTCGCGTCGTCGCAGCTTTTATACATAACACACGCGGCGCACAGAGGACCTGGGCCGCCGTCGAAGACGCGCGTGCAGATTTCCTCGGGGAGCAGTTCGCGCACGGCTTCGAACTTTTAAAACTGTTGCCTATGTGGGCGCTGCTACCGCTGCGTCGAGCAGTTGTTATGAAAAGTTCGGGGTTAACCTTTGACTTAGTTAATGTGCTTCAACATTGTCGACGTGGCTTGTTTGATTTTGCCTCTCTCGAGTTTAATTTCCCTCGCTTATTCTCGCGCCCCTTTCTATCTACGCTATCGGACGATGTCGTTAAAATTAGCATCGCTGGGACAAATTATTTTTTGTTGAAATATTAATTTTGTATTTGTTTTGCAATACTTGTTTTTATTTTCACAATACTTGTTTTCATTTTCACAATACTTGTGTTTTTACAAAATTTATTCATTTGTTTACATTTGAACATTCTTTATTCAATAATGAGATAATATTTGAGGATGTCAAGATATTATGATAAATACCATTTTTTCAATTAGTTTTTTAGATTACACTTCGGTCAGCATTTCATTCCGCCTATACTACAAGCATGAATGATGCATTGATGTACTATCTAAATGTGTTTTTTCAGGTTACCCTCTTGTTTTAATGACTTTCCACTTGTATCACATGTATCAGTGAGATAATTATGCACCTTATTGATTCATATGGTTTTTCAGATAATTTTTTCGTGTGAGAGTTTATCAACATACCTTGCAATCATTTTCAACACCATTATACAATGAGTCAATGTGTTTTTTAAGATTAAAATATCAAGAAAATTTCAAGCTGCTAATATCACACGCATGTGTAATAATATTACGCACCGAATCAATGTGAGCTTTGAGATGAGACTGTTTTAAAAACGTCTTGCCGCATTTATGACTTTTTGATACCATTATGCACTGAATCAATGTGTCTTTTTAGGTTACACTTGTATGAAAATGTCTTTCCACAAACGTCACATGTAGGTGTGATACCATTATGCACTGAATCAGTGTGGGTTTTGAGATGACACTGCTGCGAAAATGCCTTGCCGCATTTAAGACATGTATGTTTTACACCATTATGCACTGAATCAATGTGTTTTTTGAGATAACCTTTTCGTGAACATTTCTTGCCGCAAATATCACACACAAGTGCCATACCAATGTGTATTGTATCCGTGTGAGCTTTAAGATCATATTTGTATGAAAATGTCTTTCTACAAATGTCACATGTATGTGTGATGCCATTATGCACTGAATTAATGTGTTTTTTTAAGTTATACTTGTGTGAAAACGACTTTCCACAAACGTCACATGTAGGTATGATACCATTATGCACTGAATCAATGTGTTTTTTTAGGTTACACTTGTATGAAAATGACTTTCCACAAACGTCACATGTAGGTGTGATACCATTATGCACTGAATCAATGTGGGTTTTAAGATTATACTGCTGTGAAAATGTGTTGCCGCATTTAAGACATGTATGTTTTATGCCATAATGCACTGAATCAATGTGTTTTTTAAGATGACTTTTTCGTGAAAATTTCTTGCCGCAAATATCACACGCCTGTGTGATACCCCTATGTACTGAATTAATGTGGACTTTAAGAGTCCATCGTTGTGAAAATGTTTTGCCGCATGTATCGCATGAGCGGGTTGTATCAGTATGCCCAGCACCAATGTGTGTTTTGAGGTTAAGTTTTTTGTTAAATTTTTTCTTAATATTCCTTTTTGTCTTTTGTTGAACTTTACAGTCTGAATTCAATTTTAATTGTTCTGCGTTGTCACTCAAAAATTCTTGTTTTACTTCGTCCGTAGGTTCCATTTTAATAATGTTTTGGCCTTTATAAACGTTGTCACCTTTTTCATTATGCAAATGATTTGGAGAGTAATTTTCAACTTTTTTAACGATGAATGAATCAATTTTGGGCTTGACGTCTTCACATTCAAAAACAATTTCCATTTCGTTGCTGAGTTCAGTTTCTTGATTTCCATCACATTTTCGAAACCCTTGGGTCTATCGAAAAATTAAATCTACGTGAGAATTTTTAGAATAGAAACTACTACAATGAAATTTACATATAACTTACTGGATTTTCTCATGGAATTGGTAAGAGTTCAGTGTTTATAAGATTGTGGTTCTCGTCACAATCACTTCACTATTATTTTCAGTAGTGGGGATATCAGAAGGTTCTTCTTTTACTCTGAAATAACCTCAAAAAGTTCAAGTAATTTGTTATTATATTTTTACGGTATCAATCTTATAAAATTAAAATTACCTGGCACCACAGTTAAATAAACCAATAGGGTCCATGTTGGTCACTTGAATATCCTTCAACAATTGTGTTTTCTATGATTATCAAGCTAAATTTACGGGAAAACTGGCGAAGAGTGCAAAGTTGCGCTCGTCGTGTTGTTCACGTTGTGCCGGGTATACATGACTTCTGCGTGTATTGCGCGACACGATGTTTTGTCCTGTATACCACATTAGCTACAAGCAGGGATGTGTACGAAGCAAAACGAAGTCATTATATCCATATCATTGAAGAAACGGCATTATGCATGTCAAGTTTAACGAACGGTAAACACTTCAACATCATTGATTCATTTGTATATCAGTGAATGGAAAAGTAAAATATAAATAATTAATTCCACGGCGGGCTAAGGGCACTGAGAAACAGCTGATCCTTTGGATTTTGGTAATTACTTGAAATGTCGTATAGATTAAGGTGATAATCATGAAGTGTATATTTTGCAGGATAACTGGTATATTTTTAATCCAGTTTTCGGACTCTTAAATCTAGCTCACTTTCACCCGACATTCTTCCGAGTTTTTTTTTTGTTCGCGTGCGTACATATAGTAATTACGGCGATACAAAATGTTACGTTTTACAAATTATAAGCACTATTTTTGCCAATAGTATAATAATTGCCATTTATCCTTACGCAACAATTTTTTCATAAATCCATCAAAATTATAACGTAATCGTTGTCGTAATTATTTTATTTCAAATTAAAAATAGTTTATGGGATCATTAATATTTATTACGAATTCATCCAATGATATATATTCGTTACGTTTCTCTCCGCATCGGATTTATCTAATACTCAAATTTTAATGACGATGATAATTTTATTTTGCAACCTTCCCGTTACGTATATATGGCACTCGAGAATCGAGCTCCGAATAATTTTCATTCGCGCTGTCGATGCTCGAAATCCTCCGCGTCTAATTTTTATCTGGGTCATAATAACTATACTATACCATCTGCGCATTAATTTTGAATAAAGACATCGGAGTAAAAAGCCGCAGTATATATAATTCTCGCGCGTCGCGCACTCCGTGCCTCGGTGAATGGCACAAGAGGCACTCGGGGGGGCCTCTGGCACATAAACCATATCTACGTATATATATAATACGCACACTACGACGAGCTCTCTCTCTCTCTCTCTCTCTCGCACTAGAGACATCCGAGCTGGTGTGCGACGACGACGACGGCGGCAGCGCTTGGTCATTGTTCGAAGCCCATATAGCTTTCTCAGGCTTGCACACGTATAGATATAGTACACTGTCACTTGTCTCTCTCTCGCTAACACCCCTCTTCCGTCCTAACGCCTCCCCCAAAAGCGCGCGTTGACGTCCTTGAAGAAGCACTAGGCTAATTAACGTCGAGGCGTTAATTAATATTAGCCTCGCGTGCGCGCTATTCCACATCCTCGCCACTCCGAGACTCCCACACGTAGTATACGTACGTATGCATACCGCGTGAAGAGAAAGAGAGAGAGAGAGGGAGAGAGGAGGAAGCAGCAGCATATAATGCTGAGAAGCTTCGCGCGGGCTGTGCGCACGTTTCGCGAGAGCCGCACGCTTGATATGCACCTCGATCCTGCGCCATCGCACACAACACGGCCACGAGGAGAGCAGAGCTTGCCCTAGGCGCTGTATTCTATCTCTGTCCTTCTCTCTCCTACTCTCTCTCTTCTATAAACCTAATTCTCAAAGTGTAAGATAATGCCCACTTTGCAAGCCACGGATTATTAATATTATCATTATTATTCGCCGCCACCTCGACAAGATTGAATATCGATCGGGAGGTTCTTGACTCGCCTCTGCCATCGTTGTCGTGATCGCGTCCTTTTGTTTTGCCAGGCGCTTTTCGTAAAAATCATTTCCTCTTGGCGTGTTTGCGCACTCATCGAGATAATCCAAGGCAACAACAAAACTTATGTTCGATGTGCCTTAAATTCGGGCGTGCTAATTCCCGAACACGCCGTATCCTATACACGGTATGTGTTTGTGTGTGTATACATGGAAAACTTTTTCTTGTCTTCGGCGTTTCGAGAAAAATAACATACAGGATAAAGCGAAGTTGAGCAATGCGCGTGCAAAGCTTTTAACAAAAAGATAACGTCGAGACGTCCATGCGCGCCGCCTTACATATATAGCGAGACTGCTATATATATACGCGCGAGCGAGTCTCGGGCAATAAAAGTCCTTTGGTTAGATGCAAGAACGTCTACTGGCTCGGCTTGGTCTTATACGCGTATAGATATATATACACGCCACCATCAGCTCTTTTCCCTCCTCCCGTTCCTTCTGTTTTGTTTCCCAATACTTTTCTTCCTCGAGGATCTCTACGTTATATACTTGCGCGCGCGGGGGCCATTTCCAGCGAGGCTCCAAGTAAGATTAAAGAAAAACTTTAATGGTTTACTCAATGCGACTTGCCTGGCAGAAATCATCGATTTCTTCGATTTGAAAATATATCTCTCATTCGTGGTCTCGGACGTGATGCGTACGAAACAAGATGTTAATTTAACCAACCCGTACTTTTTTTTGTTATCTTTCACCATTCAAAGTTTACCGTCAACTTTTTACTTGATCTCGTATATTATTCACTGTTAGAAGTTGTCGCGCGAGGTAAATAATGCGGAGAAAATTAAAATGTCAAATATTCCGACCATGGTTGCGCAAAGTTTCAAAAAAGCAGTTTTGTGTATAGTAAGAACAAAAACTCGTCAATTTGCTTGACTCGTTTCCGGTTCAAAGTTTGCTTAATTGCTTTCAACTATTTTCAGCTCCTATGAGCGCAAAAAATCTCGGGATATGCTCGGGCGTAACTTGCAAAGTGCGAAAAGATTTATCCATGTAATCAGGCTCGAGGCAAAGAGTAGCGTCTGATAATGTCATTATTTTGCCCAAGGGTGAGGGCGGCGTTGGGTGGGTGGTCTCATCGCGGAAACTAGAGGAGTCTCGCTCATAGCTGGTGCTCGTTATCGCCCGAGACGAAAGTCATTACTTCAGCTCAGGCGAAAAATCAACTTCGGAAAGACGTTCAATTATTTCTGTATGCAAATAAACACCGAAAGTACACTCTCATCCGCGTTTAAGTTTTTAAACTTATTTTATATTATTAATAATAAGAAACTTTACCGTGCTTATATTTTAACTAGGGGAAGTTTCAATTTCTAGCAAAAATAAAGAAAACAGATGTCTTATTGAAGCAACATTATGTAGAGAGTATTAAATAAGTCCAAACATTCAAATCGAATTTTTAAAGGTCTTTTTCATCGGAAAAGTATTGGTTGAGGAGTGCTATCGTCTAGGTATGAACGAAATTGACTGAGAAAGATCGGAAGTATCGACCAGTGTTGTCCCGCACTTTAGGAAAAAAGGTTTCACCCACTTGATATCAAAAACAATTTTCGTCTAAAAAGTGTTTAAGGTCGTTTGTCGAATGATAATGAAATAAAAATCCCCAGCAGTTCATTATTTTAATGATGCAGCCCAATGATATCATACTTCGTAAATGTTTTCTAAATTGCTTGCCCGGTACAACGAAATTTATGAATTATGGAAAATAATTTGAATAGTGTCTAGTTTTTGACAATTCTAAATTAATGAAAGAATATTATTCATATTAAAGGTGCATTCATGGAACACTTAACAACATCAAAAATTAACTTTGACGGTAAGGTAAATGCTGGGGAGGTCGTCGCATGGGTAAGTAGTCAAACCATATATTTTTCAAAATCAATATATTTTGTATATTTGTATCAATACATTTTGCGCTATTACCTAATTGCACGCATTGTGCGATTTTTAAATTGTGACGTGCATTTGCTCAGAAAATCGAATCTTCTGAAGAACGGCAGGTACGTTTTAAGAATTCTTTTGTTAAAATTATTTCATGTTTATAAAATTACAGTTTTTTTATTGTTATGAATTAGTAATGATATACATACATTCTGTAACAAAAAGGTAAGAGATATTAAATAAATTAAATATTTGAGTGAAATAAAAATTATAAAATTGTTACTGCGCCTATTTGCCATTTGCCCTTAGCATTGCCACTTTACCTCTAAATGACGTGATGCGAATTGGTTATTATATTCTCCCAACATATAAGTTATTATAATGTTGTATTCCTAATATTTATGATCCCGATTGACGGATAGATTCTTATACCGATGGAGTTACTAAATCGACTCATGCTAAAAATCAGATTTTTTTATAATGGTACAGCCCCTTTTTTGAGTCCCCTTAAATATGTACATCATTCATTTCAATTTTCAAGAGTCAAGACTCAAGAGAAAATCTCTCATATCCCGTACGAGTTCCCGACGAGTAAAAAATTTCTATATAAAAAAAACATTAACAAACCGATCGGTTTCGAGCTTCCAAATTAACCACTAGATGTCATAATCGATTCCGAACGTAAAGAAATGAAGTTTTGTACTTCAGATCAATTCGTTTTTATGATATAATATAAGTTTAACACTCGGAAAAGTATTGAAAGAACTAGGATCACGGTGTAGTACTATTTGAAGTACGACTAGCGTTTCTGAGTCATTTGACTTTAAAATATATATTTTTAAACTTATATACGGACTAGTGTTATTATTTTTCAATCAACTTGTAGCTACCGTTGAAAAAATGGATATGAGAAAAAAATTTTGAAAGTAAAAAAAATAGTAAGTGGAGATCAGATACATTTTACCCAATTTTTATATTATTTACAAGTACTAAGCCAACGAATAATAAAACGAGCGTGATAACAATTGAAACAAAACATTGTTTTTTTTATTTATCTTTTCAGGTTAAAACTAAATAAGTAATAATTTATCAAAATAAATCACATGGTTTCATCAAAAATTAATATTCAATCAGTATCCAATCTAGCAACTGCACCACTAAACCAAATGCTAATTACCAATCACCAAGCCAGAAAAGATATGATACTTTTTAGTTCATCATCGGATAATATTAAGGTAGCTTTATTATTGCATTATATATTTATGAAGATTATTACAATATTTTTCTCCCTATACACATATTTGAATATTTGGAAAAAACGTCCTATCAAATTGGAAGTTTTATTACACATCCCATCTATATAAGAATTGTATTTACTATCGATCGTTTCACCGCGAAAATCTCGCACAATCGCGCAGGTGCGTTGACGCGCAGAAAAAAAATTGTAAATTTATCGTACGTTCCCCATGTCTATATATAAATGGAAGCCTTGCATGGAAGTGAAATCCGATCCTCCGCGCCAAGCGCATATATACCCGTGTAGTCCGAGGCTCTGATTAAGCCATCCAACATTAATTTGCATCGGTGGAAAGGAAATTTATGCGGTCCCATGATAATCCTTGCGCGAACGCCGGCCGGGGGTCGGAGGGGGGCAACTATAGCTCATCATTAGTCGCGGCAACGCACGGCGCACGAGCTTCTCCATGAACACGCTGTGTATATGTGTATATGTGTGTGTACGCGAAGCAAACGAGCTTCGCGGGGAATCGAACACGAGCGAGCCAAACCAACCAACCAACCAACCAACAAACAAACAAACAAACAAACAGTCTAGTTTTAGCTCGAAGGTCTTCGTCTTTTCTCTGTACGCATAAATCGTTCTTGGGTTATGCCACCAGCACTACCAGCAGCAGCAACCCTGTATACAACTACAGACGATGCTCGAGCGCTCGGAGAAATTTGCAACTTTTAAGGCATTTGTCATGCTTGGCCTCTCGCGTCGTCTTCGTCGAATATATTCGCCACGAATATAATCATAACTCTCTCTCTCCGACCCGACGAGATACTTTTTGAAATCTTCTTCCCAAACGCAAACTCACATTTATTCTCTGGAAATTAGTTGAGAAATACGAGTGCACGCATCAAGTATCCACCGCGCATGTATCATAGCGCAGTGCACTGTGCAAATGCAACGTCTGGATAGGCGGAAAACGCAAAACTTATATTTTCTTGTGTATATATGTGCTGTATGCATGCCTCGAGGGCTGTTAACTCGCGGAAGCTCCGTGTTACTGCTTCTTATTTGGGATTTCTCAGAGTGCGTTGTAGCTCGTCATGCGGAGGGTTGTTGCAAGTGCGTGCGTATAAAGCTCGAACGACATCGCAGCAACATCTGTTATCGTAAAGTAGACACCGATATCTTCGACGCCTCGTTTATCGAGCGCCATCTCGAATTTAACGTTTGAATCTATGGCGCAGCGTTAAATAACGCAGACACTATTTTATCGAAAAAAAATAAAAATGGAACGCGGAAAAGAGATCGAGCAGACCTGATGAGGCATATTCTAATTAATTCGCAGTCCACGCGACAGTCGCGCGAAACACTCGGACTCTTTCTCTTTTTTTTTTCTTTACTATTTCTTGACACTGATACAAAGTCTCGAGTACTTATAGTGCACTTACATCTTTCACTTGTTCTTCGCTAGACGAGCTAGTTTCTCTCTCTCTCTCCGTCTTTCTCTCGACGCATAAAAGAACTCGAGAAAAAAAGTAGACTTTTAATTTCCCGCGCCGCACGCGCCGGAGCTCTTGGCCCCGGCATTTTCTTCGTTGTGCTTCCTCACTTCTGCTTTCTTCGTCTTGGCCGCACCGACGTCGTCGTCGCTGTCTGGGCGAGAAGTTGACGACGAAAAGAGAAGGCGGAGGCGCAAAGGAAAGGAAAAAACCGTTTTACCAAGAAATTGACGCTCCCGGCGTAAGCATAGAGCGATATATATAAGATCTATCTCACGCGCGCGCTTTACAGAACGAAGAAGCCGACCGGTTGCACATTTCTAATTACTTTGGCCTCTCTCTCGTAAACTTCTATATCTGTCGATCGCGTCTCGGCAGATTTTACGCGTGCGCTCGTAATATGTCGCGCTTCTCCGCGTACATAACGTTTGAAGTTTGATTGTCCTGCGTGCGCGTAAAGTTCAATTATTCGCTATGCATACAATAGCTGCGCAGCCACACGTGGTCAATGGGCCACGCGCGCGATACAGTTTTTCGAGAATAATTTTAATATTACCGCCGCGCGCAACGATTTACACCCGACGGACATAATATCGTGTCCGGACCTTACTTCACTTGTTCCGATGATTATGAGAACTTTTCATGTCTAGCGGGCAGTAAGGTCCGGACAGATATTATGTCCATCGGGTGTATATTATATATAACGCGCGGATGCACTTGCACGCATGCCCATTGTGATATTCGTTCGAGCGCAGTATATTACGATCGTTATGTTTTGAAAGTCGAGAGTCGAGAGTCGAGAGAGCGGTCACTGCAGTGCGCCGCGCGAGTTGGGAAACACCGAGTCGCACTCTATAATTAATCCGTATTAAACGCCGCGCGGCGCGTACATATATATTCTGCAAACTTAGACCACCATTAAAGTATATATATCCACATGGTATACGTATACTTTGCACGGCGTACGGTCATGTATACGCGAGAGTCAGAGCCCCCGGCCCATTGCGGTACTATACTGGTATTGGGCCGAGAGCTTTCAAATGGCTCGCGAGAAATTCCCTCGAGTTAATATCACACCTGCAACGCGCGTGCGTCTTGTTAACTTCGACTCTCTGCTCCTGAATAATTAATCGCCGAATTCTGTCAATCAAAGAACGCGCGAGCGAGCGAGCGAGGTGGACGCAGCAGCTGCGCATATTTACCTTCGTTGCGCGTGACTTTGACGTAGATGAAAAAGTCACGACTCTGGTCGAATCACTTGATAAACGCGCGCGCGTATATATAATAGCTCCATACAAACACGAGAGATTTTCTCGTGGTTGTGGGCTCTATTCCATTAATCCGGGCATCGTATCTATGCGTGTGTGTGCGCGTGTTTGTAGGGGTATATAAGCGCACGAAAACGCAAGCACCCTCGACGTTCCTTTAATGTATTCGCCTGCGTCTATGTATACGTATAGGTCCATGCGCACATACGTTCAAGAGTGCAGCATAGCTTCAAGAGAGAGAGAGAGAGACAGGTAAAGCATGTGGCATTGGCAACAAACTTGGTCCGAGATTAGCCACTCCGACTAACCCTACGCTGCGGTGGTGTGCTGCTGCTGCTGCTGCTGCTTCTGCTCGGTGTGCTTCTCGCTCAAGTTAACCCATTAGCATAGGATATGTGCCGCAGCACACAATATACACTCTTAACTGAATGTTGCTACTGCCGCTGTGTGGGTGTGTGTATGTGTATATAATACGCGCAAAGTTTCGACTTTGAGCCACGTGCTACGTGTTATGAGCGCCGCTGCCACTATTGCCAGCCAAGATGTAGCTATTATTGAGCTTATACAACGGTGCGCGGCCATTCGATCGGCTTTTACTACCTGCGAATGTTGCTCTCCGCATATATGGCTAATGCTCGGCATTGATATTATCACAATGCATCGATGCCGTACAGCGCGTACGACCGCCCTTTCGTTCGAAACGAGATTTTCTCTATACATATAATAGTTTTCAGAAATAATTTTTTTTTCCTAGAAGGATTATTTGTAAAACCCAAAAGTCGTTCGATTTTAGGAATCATTCCTCGATGTATATCTCATCCGCGAGATTATTTTCTCGGAGTCGTTGAGGTTTCCGCAGCTTCAACCGACCCTTACATTACACACATAAAAAATAATCTCACATACGGCTGAACATTTGCATAGGTAGCTTATGCGAAGATTTGTCTAGACGCTACGTTCGCTGCCTTATATGCTCCCTTCCCTGGCGCGAATTTTTACCGCTCGCTGCGATCCCGAAGGGCTTACGCTTCGGGGAGTATTCACCGCGCGAGCACCAGAGGTAAAACAAACGTATGGGACGTCTGGGGGCATGGAGAATTCAGCTTATGAGGCTCCTTTAACCCGGCTTTTTAGAGCTTCTTCTGAGCCGAACGATTACGCTTATTACGCCCGAGCATGTGCCTCGTGCG